TAATAATAATGATGATGATGATGATGATGATAATAATAAGACATAACGTAGGGACCGCGGCTCGAACCACCGAACCGGCAACCTCATGATTACCTGCCGGTAGCTTAACCACTAGGCCACCGATCTCTCATTCGTGACAAAAAGGTGCAGCATAAAGGCGTGATTCGGGTATTTTCCACATTTTCACCCAAAGAGCCCATATGTTATACCGACAACAGTTGTTGTTTTTTTCTGAATGTCCTCTGTTAACTCTATACTGTACTTGGGAAACTGTCTCCCTCTTCCTTTTAGCCCACTTAGAAAAAAAAGTTGGACCGAGAATAGAACATTGACCGAATTAACCTGCCTCAAAATGTCGGAGAATTCATTTCACTAATGCCATAATCAGTTAAAATTGGCTGGGTTTACGGACCTGGCTTTTCAACTTAATAAAGAAATTTTAAAAAACACAATTTGCTTCATGTTGTGAATATAGTTCTTGGCGCTGGTCATCCTAGACGATGTTAAGTGCTACAGCTTGAGCTGTTGGTGAATACTAGCATAATTGTTATGAATTATCATTACACGCTTTTTTGCTGAAAATCGGTGAAATTGTGGGACAATAATATAAACAAATTGCTTCCTCGGAACTACAACGTTCTATCTGACATTTTTGGCTGTTTTGGGTTACTAAGAACGTGAGGTCGGAAAAGCTCATCAAAATCGTAACATTATTCAAAGTCGTTATCGATATTCAAAGAATAGCATTCGAAAAAAGCTTGAGATGTTGTGAAACTCAAAAGTTTTGCCGTCATATTTTTCAAAACTGGGTATTGAACAGATAAAACTGTCTAATTCTGAGGTAGCGAAAGAAAAGAAAAGAAAATTAACCCCATTCGTCCGGGGCACAGGTCGTCTGTGTACGGTCACGTGGTTGAGATCAGAATGAACGGGATTTACACTGAGATGCATTCATCGGTGAATCTGGGTCTTTTTTTTTATTTACTTCCACATCTTCGTTTCACTAAACTATTTCGTCCCACATTTGCAATACATTGTATCCGGTTATCCGTCTATGCCTACAAAAGAACACC